CCTTTAACCTGTGTATATATTATTATTGTTTATTAACTTTGCATGGTATTGTATTGATTCGTTGTATTGACTTAAGGCAGTAATGGGTTTTGGACATGTTTTTTAGTTTTAGACAAGGTTTTGGATATATGAAATTATGTCCAAAACCTGTCTAAAACTACCTAAAATTGTCCAATTTCCCAACACTGACTTAAGATGTAATCACTGAAATGTAATCTCTGAAATATTCAGAAGTTACTCGTGTATAATTGAGAATAATCTTTGATGTTTACTACGAATCTTCATTGCGATTCCTTAAGTTTAGTCTTAGCATTATTAATTTTTGTGAATTTTATTTGAGTTACAAATCAGACGTAATAGCGGGAATCTGCTTTTACAGATTACTGCTAATCTTTATTGAAAAACTGTGCAGAAATTATAAAATCGTGGACCTGCGCAGATCTGTATCCTAAAAAATTTCCTGATGTAAAAAATCTTTTATTCATTATCCTCACATAAAAGAAGATGGTCCGCTTTTTTAAATTCCTTTTATTCTTCTACCACAGTTTCTTTTGATCAAAATTCAATCACATTACCACCTTTACCTATAAAAACCCGTTGGAATTCATGGTTTAATTTTGTTTTTTGGATAAAATAATATATATCGCAATTATGTAAATTCTATATTGAAGAAGAAATTATTAGTAATGAAAGTGAAACTATCTGAGAATTGGCAACAATTTTAAAAATTCAGTATATGTTTTTATATTTAAAATTATGGTTATATTTATTTTATTTAATACAAAGCGGTAAGTTATAATTGATATTATTTATTTATATAAAAATGCAAATCTAATTTATATTTATTTACATAGTATTGTAAATGATCTTGAATTCTTTAAAATTAGAAATAAACCTATTTCTCCTTTTGTGGCTCATCGCTTGATACATCTTGAATCTGCTTACAATCTGGTATTATTCAACCTCCTTTTAGTAATGAGATAAATACTAAATTTTTGGAAGAAAATGTTGATACATCAGTGTTTATTATAATGTTTCAAGAAGCTTATCAATTAGCTTTTAACAAATTAAAGAAACATATAGATTATCATTCAGTATTACCTTTGTTTAAAGCAATTCAATGCTTTAATCCACATTATATTCATGCTTAACAATATCATTATAATATTAGTTTATATTCTGAAATTCAAGAATTTAAAAGGTCAATAGATCAAATTATACAAGAATGGGAATTTATTGGAGTTTGAAGATAGTGAGTTTGATTTAAATATTTATTAGAAAAACAAAATTAGAAGCTTACAAAATTTATCAAGATTGGCTTTAGAATATATTTGGCTTCCGATATCTAAGGTAGATGTAAAATGAAGTTTTTAGCATATACTAATATTCTTAATAATAGATGGCATACTCTTTTAGAAAATTCAATTGCTACTTTGAATTTTTTGTATTTTAATAAAGGGAGGAAGGCTTAACTTGTTATGACCCAGCAGCAGGAGTAGGCGCATTATTGATAACTTTTAAACAATATAAACCACAGGCGACAGTTTACAGCCAAGAATTAAGCCATGAAAGCGTTTTAATAGCGCAGGAATTATTAACTAATAGAAAAGAAGAAGATTGACCACAGGACGAAGTAAAAGAATATAAACGCAAATATACTAAACCCAATTTTAGCGATATTTTAATAATTAAAATTTTGTAATTGTAGTATAGTATATTTAAATAAAGTAATTTTCGCATTTTTTTAGCATTTTTTAAAAAAACAAAATAAACTAAGCATATTTTATAAAAATTTTTCGCATATATTAGCATATCTTATTATATAAAGAGGCATAATTTGAGTTTAGCATAGCAGAAAATAGGTCATCCTAATTCAGAGCTTGTAAAGCTAATATTTATTTATTGTTCAGAAATTTTGAGGATTTTATTAGGTGAAGAACATAAAACTTTCAGTGAGTTTTTAATATCGCTAATTTATTTCTGACTGCATGTGCTATGTATAACTAATGACCATTTTATTCTATCCAGAACATCAATATTAGAAATCAGATTAGAGTTAGGATATTGTGTTAGTATATAAATATAACTTAACTTTAGATGAATGAAACACTGGCAGACATTTGCATAGAAACTACATTTTACTTTGTAAAATAAATTTATGTATTATGAATCTTATAATTTATTTTTTACATCAATAAATCAGTAATTCTAATGAGAATATTACCTTATTTTTTTATCTATACTAACGAACTTTTGAATTATTCTATCTTATATAAAAAATTATTATTGAACATGCAATCTATTGATTCATTAAGAGAATTAAATGCCAAGTACTTAGCTGAGATTACTGAACTTAGAAAAAAGTTTGCTGAGATTAAGATTGAGAATGATAAGCTTAAAGATAAGAATACTGAGATTCCTGAACTTAGAAGGAAGTTCACTGAGCTTGAAGCTGAGAAAGCTGAGCTTAAGATCAGGATTGTTGAGCTTCTAAGATAGGATATGAAAGAGAGTAAGAGATATGATGTTGAGAATGCTGAACTCAAGATCAGAATCAAGAAACTAGAAAAAAATAAGACAGTTATTACTAAACTCGAGTCGAGAATGCTAAGTTTAGAGATAGAATCATGAAAGTAGAACAGAGACAGATACAAAATGATAATATTACCAAAGTAACCAATTCTTCTAACAACAATAACAACAGTTTATCTAACTTTAATTCAATGAATAAGGAATTGGATAATTCATTACCTGAAGAACTGATACCAGAGGTGATTACAAAGTAATCAGTATTAGCTATTAATATATTTGTTATAGATCAATGTGATCAGGAGTCCTTAGAAGATAAGGAGACGGTTGTCTTTTTGGATGAGATACATAAGAAAAAGGTTAGCAATAAAATTAGGCAGAGGAAGCGAAAAAAGAAGCAGAGTGAGCAAGAAACTAGTTATGAAAATGTAGGATTAGTATCTTGTATCTTATTAAAGAAACTTCAAGAAATCATGACATGTCGATTAATCGTTTTAAAATTCGACTTTCGATTTTCCATATTAGTTATTTTGGTTTCCTTAGTTAACATATATATTCTTAAAAACCGTAAAGAATCTTCACAATCGAAGTCATATGATATGGAAGAATCTGATCAACATGACAAAGTTATTGCCAAGTTAGATAAAAATATAATTGTGAAACAGGAGTTAAAGCAATAGCTATTAGCATTTTCACATACTTTTTCATCAGATCAAATTTTAAAACAGGACTCAAGCTCATCAGATATTGCGTAAAATATAGCTTGCATGTTTAGAAAAGCTAATATATCTGATTAAGAAGCAATTTTATATTAGTGCTATTTTATAGAAAAATATGACAAAAGGATTGATAACTTTATTGTTGATGGAATTACGAAAAAACTGCAACATCAATAGCAGTGTTGGAAATTTTGTATGTACTAGATAAATTTAACACTGTACTTGTACTAATTTTATATTAATTATTATAATGTACTAACTATACTAATTGTACTAATCATTGTACTAACACTGTACTTTTCAATCCTGATCTATAGTATGTTAAGAAATCAAACAGCTTTTATCTGAAATAATAGATGTGAATTTATGTCAAAAGATTCTTAGAGCTAAAAAGCTATTTACGTTATTTAATACAATACTTTGAGGTAGATACCTAACTTTTTCTAGATCAACTATTAATATGAGTTCTTCTCATACAAACTCACGCGATAATGCATATTCTCCATCAAGATAATATAAAACTAATTTATTCTTTATGATAACAATTTTTCAGATTTTATAAATACTTGAACTCTAGTATGGGTTAGTGGTCCTCTTCTGATTCTCCATTCCTCCTTTCCATTTTGTATTTACAAGCAAATAGTAAACTGTATCACTTTTCTTTAACACTATTTCATTTTTTTAACCAATTTATAAATTGTCTTGATTCTATTTTTTCTAATACGATAGCTTTTATAGGCACAAAACCCCATTTCTCAATCCCTGATTCTCAAATAAAACATATAAGATAATTATTTAGATAATCAATAATTATAGGCTAGGTTTTTAAAATCGAATCAAATCAAATATTTAACAATTTGAATTTAATTTGATTTTTTTAATTCAAATTAAATCAAATTAAATTAAACTCAAATATTTGATCGAATCAAATCAAATACAAAAATTTTTTAATTTTTATAATGGTATATTAAAATAAAGTTATTCTAAAATTTTAATTACACTAAAAATTTCAAAGATAACTTTTATAAAGTAAGTTTAATAACAGTTGAATTTTTACTATTAAACTTAATAAAATAATTCTGTAATTTCAGTTTTACTAAGAAACTTAGTAATAACTACTATTGCATTTTCAGTTTACTAAGAAAACTTAGTAATAACTACTATC